GAGCTAACAAATCCTAGATTATCCCTTCTACAAGTGTGCCCATGTGAAAATGATGGAAAATGGAGAAAAACAACCCCACAAAAACTATACAGAGGGAAGGTTTCCTTAAAGGCTGTTTTTGTTTTGCCAGTCCTGGGGCTTGAACTCAGGGCCTGGACACTGTCCCTAAGCTTCTTTTGCTCAAGGCTAGCACTCTACCACTTGAACCATAGTGCCACTTCTGACTTTTTCTGTTTATGTGGTAAGCAAACACTCTACCTCTAAGCCACATTCCCAGCCTAAAAACTAATTTACATAAGCAACAGTATTTGCTCTTTGTGATCTGATGGTAACTATTTAGCAATTTGTTCGAATCAACCTAACTTCTGAAACATTGGCCATTTTCAATGTACATACAATACAGTAATTATATGTCCTTTTTTTCTTCTTTCTGTCAATCTGTATGAATTGCCTTCTGGGCTTTAGCTTTTTTAAATGCTCAAATTTGTCCAAATGGAGAATTTCTTGTAAATGAATATACTATTAAATGTGCTATAACCTAGTAATGTATAATGACTGTCTCTGTAGAAACCCATTTCATTAAATAAGAATAGAATGCAATTCATTGCACAGTGAGACAGTATGACTACCCAGAAGCCTTGTGTGTGTGGGGTGTCTCTGCATTACATGAATATCTAAGAAATAGCTTTCAGATACCAAAGGAAACAAGTACTCAGATGCGGTGACAGATGTGGGAAGGCTTTCAGTGTGTGTCACCTGAGGGTACCATTCACCTTTGTCTGTTTGAATGATTTGTCCTGTAGGTAGATGCCTCAGTAGCCAGAGGCTTCTATACAGGGTGAAGGCTGAGACATTGGTCTTTACAAGGGGAAAAAAATAAATATCTAAAACCAAATTCATGTGTTCCTGGAAACCAGATCTTAGATATCAGAGAAAAAATTGAGAAGAGGAATAGTTGAAGATAAGGAAAGGGAAGTCAGTCAGAACCAACCCCCAATCCATGAAACAATTAGAAATTAATAGAAAAAGAATAGCTAGCTGGGCACTCACTGGTGGCTCACGCCTGTAATCCTAGCTACTCAGAAGGCTGAGATCTGAGGATCGCAGTTCAAAGCCAGCCCAGGCAGGAAAGTCCGTGAGACTTTTGTTTCCAATAAACCACCAGTGGCGCTGTGGCTCAAATGGCAGAGTGCTAACCTTGAGCTGGAGAGCTGAGGGACATTGCCCAGGCCCAGAGTTCAACCACAACCAGCAAAAAAACAAAAACAAAAACAGAAACACCCAAGAATAGCTGTGGAATGGAATATTATAGTTTGAATCTGACATACCTCCCCAACCCCAGACTCATGTGGTTACTACCCTGTGGTTTACTGGAAGGTGGAAAGTCTTAAGGAGATCAGGTGAAAAGAAAGTTAAATTCATTGTGATTGGGGTCAGGGGAGATGTGCTCTTGAAAGAGATACAGGCTCTCCAGCCCTTCTTTCCTGTCTGCTTCCCCATCCTCACAACATAAGCAACTCTGCATTCTCCTCCATGGAATTCTATCTCACCAGGGCCAAAGCAACCTGGCCAAGTGACCAGATTGAAACCTTTGAAACCATGAGCCAACATAACCCTTTCATCCTTTTAATTGATTAATTAAAACTCAGGTATTTTTCCAGAGTAGCAGAAAGATAATACAGTGGGTAATTGCGGTAAGGAGAACCATGGCCAAAGAAATTGGATTCTGGAGCCATAAATTACTATTTGAATGTGTATTTTGTTAGTATTTTTAAACTGCAAAATCAGGAAAACAAAACCAGCAGTGTTTTTGTTATTTGTAAATAATAAATAATTTGTTTCTTTCTTACTGTTTATCTATATCAGTATTTATTTCTCCATGTTAGTAGGACTTACCCCATTGTCTTTCTTTGTTGTTATTATTTTGGCCCTGGGGTTTGAACTCTAGGGCTGGGCATTGTCCTTGAGCTTCTTTAACTCAAGGCTAGTGCTCTACTACTTAAACAATACTTCCACTTCTGGTTTTTTTTTTTTTTTTTTTTGTAATTTATTAGTGATAAGAGCCTCATGGACTTTCCTGTCTTGGTTAACTTCAAACCAAAGTCCTCAAATCTCAGCCTCCTGAGTAGCTAGAATTACAGAAGTGAGCAACTGGCTCCTGACTCCCATTATCAACTTTACTGTTAGCTCTAACATAAGAGTCAGATACTCAGACTGACTATAAAATACTTAAAGAAATGGCTCAGTTTACCTAAGTGTGAATTTTACTCACTCACTTATGTCTGACCTGAGATCATTCCCTTAGGAAGATCTCATTATTTTCTAGCTCAGTTTGTCCTCCTGCTCTCACAACAGAGTCGAAGGACATTTCTGATGTTAGGAACTTGGCATGTGGGCATTCACCAGCTCCACAGGCCCATGGTTTAGGCAGCACATTCGCTGATGGAAAATATGATCTCCAAAGAATGCCTTTCTAGCCAGTGAGGATTATTTATAGCTTCTGACACAGAAGGTTTCCAGTTGAGAATGGACATCATTAGTACTAACCTGAAAGAGCTCTAAAGGAAAGAGATCTATGAAACTCTTCATGGGATGTTCATAGGAGATGTGATCTCAGAACTCAACAAGAAAGGAAGGATGAATGGAGAAATGGAAGTGAATTCCTAAGACATACAAAGAGACTTGAAGCTTATTTTTTTGTTCTGTGGGTGTCACCACTGGCTTTCTGACTGTACTATCTTCCCTTTCAATTTTATGTATTTTTCTGGGTTAGCTCCTCTGAGGAAATGCAGATCTTTCTGCCTAGAGATCTGTGGGTATACAGACTCCTGCTTCAAAGTGATAATCTTGTCTTCCTGACTCTTAAGTTCTGACTTCTTTAGATTTCACCAACTCCATCCAGAATTATACAAGGAATCCCTTTACTAGTTGGACCAGTTGGATTATGACTTAGGAATACACTTTGCTCAGTTTTACTTTATACTATGTCCCCACCAGTGACACTTCCTCATTGACTCCACTAACGTCACCTCTCTCTCAAGACTCACATCTAGCCATGTTTTCTCTGGGAGGCTTTCTTTGATTATCAAGCCCTAAGAGAGCATTCCTTCCCCTTCCTCTGCACTTAGAATAACAGTTAAGATCTATTTCATATACTGCTAATAAACCATATTGTTTTATCTTTTATTTGTTACATGTTAGTTTTTCCAGACTGTTTGAGTTAGAATCCTGCTGATTTAGGACTTTGTTGAATCAAGGACTAAGGTGTTTGAGTTGGAGACTTAATCTACTCAGAATGGTAGAAGGGCCTATTTTCTATTTCATTCACCTAACAGGGCCCTTTTCTGCTGATTTACACAAAGGCATGGTGTAAGCTATCATAACACTCTTCTTATTATGACCAGTTTCAGAAATGTGCACACCAACTTGGCTGTCACGGCTAGACACTACAGTACTCCCTAAGGAGAAATGGGATCTTCCTAGATGTCTTGGATGACACCATTCATCAAATGCTTTCCTCTAAGACATCATCTTCTTTTTGTATACACAAAAGCTGACATATTTTTTTCAGATAAACTAGAACCAAAGACATATACTCTAAAGGAAATTAAGACAAAGCCACCATAATACAAAATCAAATTCTGAGAGCTATTTCAGCAACAACTGTTAAAAGCCCTTGAAAAATACCAAAGATCCTGTTATGGCTAAAATGTAAAAAGGAAACACAGATGAACCAGCTAAAGGAGCTGGGGATAATGCAGAAAGGCAATTCACCTCGAGTAATGTTTGTTTCTTAGCCATACCGCACCAGGTTTAGCACTGAGGTAGAAGAGGGAAGATTGAAAGGATGAAACAAACTGTGTACACTGAGATACACAGATCTGTTCTCTTTGCTAAAGAGGAGTCTATACTTGGTTCATGAACAAGTCATGTATGTTAATATGCAGGGCCATCCATCCCAGAGGCAGGGGCTGTGAGCAGACCACCACCATTTAGTGCTAGCCTTCTGACTTGGGGGTGAGTCACTTAGTCTAATTTTCTTATGAACAAAGAGAAGATAATACTATCTCATTCATTTACTTATCCATTCATGGGGACACATTCTGAGTTAAACACGAAGGGGCATAAGAGTGAATGAGTAAAAGACACTGTCTTTGACCTTCTGGGATATCCTGATCACCTTCCTGGGTGGAAGTGTTTCTGCATGGAAAGCACTGTGGAAGTGGCAGCCTTCTTCACCATGAGTGACTTCCCCTTTTGGCCCACTGGTGAGACCTGGGCAAGTCAGTTTTTCTAGGCTCTCCTAGTCATATCTAAAAAATAAAAACATTTCCTATTCCCCAATTGAACTACTCCAAAGTATGAATGGAACTAAGCTTTTTAGGTGCTTCAGAATCACAGCTTTCTAAAAGATGATCATGAAATAGTTTTGATTCAACGAAAAGATGAGACTATTATAATGAGTCTTGTAACTCCCTAAGTCAAGAGAGAAAACACTACAAGAAGCTCTATCCTGTGGCAAGTGTTTTTTTTTTTTTTTTTAATTTCCTGAGTGCATAGCTGTGATGAGTTTGGTGTCTATTATTCTGAATACTGGCTTTTTAAGGAAATCTGATGTATGGATAAGAATAGTTTCCCAGGGGGGAGGAATGGGGAGGAGTGGGGAGGTAGGGATAGTAGGAAAAAAACAAAGGAAGCAATAACAATGTTCATCAAGAAATGTACTCATTGCCTTACTCATGTAACTGTAACCCCTCTGTGCAGCATCTTCACAATAAAATAAAATGAAAAAAAAAAAAAGAGAATAGTTTCCCAGTGAAGAACCTTTCCTAGATTTAGGTGTTCCTGGTTCCTAGTGAGTGCAGGTCAGGACAATACACAGACCATAGGCAGCCCAAGTGCTAGTCTCCTCTCTTCCTATCATCCCAGCTTGCCGCCCACCCCTGTGGCAGACAGTGCCTGTAAGAGTTTTATGTTCAGGAGCTCAGTTGTATGCTTACCTTGAGGGCCTTTTGTGCGGATTCACTAGACCCGATTGCAATCAGGTTAGGTCCAGCCATGCTGCAGAAACTCTTCAAATGCAAAGAATCAGCCACAGGGACAGTAGAGACTGCATAATCCTATACAGACAAATAGAAAACAAGCAGTTTGATATTACAGAGTAATTAAAAACGACTCTTGCGCCTTTGAAGGCACCCAGACCCTAAATATCTGGAAGCAAAACTGCAACTCAGGTTTTGGTATGGCGAGCAGACTTATATACAGCTTGCTTTTTTTTTTTTTTTTTTGTGGTGGTGGTGGTCCTGGGGCTTGAACTCAGGGCCTGGGCACTGTCCATGAGCTTCTGTGCTTAAGGCCAGTGCTCTACCACTTGAGCCACAGTTCTACTTGCCACAATTTTGTTTGCTAATTAGAGATAAGAGTCTCATGGACTTTCCTTTTAAATGTGTGACAGTGTTGCCAATTATCTGGCCCATGGAGTGGCTCTACTCTGTGTGAACTGTGGCTCAGCCAGAGCCTTGCATTGTCCTAGGAACAGAGGTTTTATTTTTTTATTTTCAGTTCTTATTTTTTTATTCTATGCTTTCTTAAGCAGCCTGGTGAGCCAGTAAAAGCCAGGTTTGAGCTGGGTGCCGGTGGCTCATGCCTGTAATCTTAGCTACTCAGGAGGAAGAGATCTGAGGATTGCAGGTCAAAGCCAGCTAGGGAAGGAAAGGTTTGGTAAGATTCTTATCTCCAATAAACCACCTGAAAACCAGAAGTGGAGCTGTGCCTCAAAGTGGTAGAGTAGCAGCCTTGAGTAAAAACGCTCAGGGACAGAGCCCAACCCCTGAGTTCAAGCCCCACTACAGCTAAAAAAACCCCAAAAAAGCCAGATCTGACAATCAGACAGTCTGATAATCAGTACAATAAAAGGACCTGAAGGAAAGTATGTTCAATTCTGAGCACCTTTGCAGGACAGCATACGGAAAGCACCAATGTATAGGTGGTTCCAATCTGAAAATCCCATGTGATATTAAAGTCAACAGGGTCTCGATATTTTTATTTATTTATTTATTTATTTATTTATTGTCGGTCATGACTTCTGGGCCTGGGTGCTGTCCCTCAGCTCTTCAGCTCAAGGCTAGCGCTCTACCACTTGAGCCACAGCACCACTTCCTTCTTAATATTTTTAAGTGACTTATATGATTATACAATAGGCATGAAACAGAAGACAACTATGCTAACTTTGTTTTTCCTGTGGTAGCTGAGTGAACTCAACTATTGAGGAATTTGAATTTGATAGCTTATAAAACTGCTAGTGATGGACAAATCTATGAATTATTTTGCAAAGCTGGTATAATATAAACACCATTACTGATGACATATTAACTCTATGGGGGACTATGAATATTAAGTAATTACTCTGAGTCAGGTATAAATTTCCCTTCACCTACCTTAAAAGTATCAGCCAAGATTTCAGCACCTCGTTGATTTGTTCTTTTGGAAAGGCCCACAAAAAATTCTCTTCCTACAATAAATGTCATGGAACATAGTGAGTGGGTGGCCACAGTGACCATGTACTATTTCTTTATCTAGAAATAATGACTTTAAAACATCACACAGTTCTCTCTTTTCACAGAGGACAGCTCCACGAAAAAGATCTCTGAACTACTTACAAAAATGAACTTTTGAGAACTATAAGCTCTTTTCAAATTCATAAAGACAGAGTCTGATGGTGGCTTCCAGGAGCTATGGATAGAGTTTCAGCTTAGGAAGAAAGTTCTGGAAATACATGCTGGTGGTAGTTGCACAAAAAAGGGAAGGTACCTGTGAACTTCAAGCTTAAAATTTATTATCATAAATTCTGTTATGTATATTTTTCCACAGTAAAGAGTTAACTTTTTATTTAGGAATATAGTAGACTCAAGCACATTAATAAAATGATGGGTAGCAGTGACAAGTTATTGGTGCTGCCTTTTGTCCCCACCCCCACTAGGAGAGAACTGGACATTCTTAAAGAAGTCAAATGTTGTTTTGTATAAAGATCACATAAGGCCTAAAGAAACAGTGTGCATAAAATACACATCAATCCTTAGTGCTGAGTGATCTTCAGGGCTGACTCCTGAGAGTTCTGTCTTTAAAATAATGCATGTACTTATTACAAATAAAAACCCATCTGCAAAAGTGAAAATGTTTAAAAAGATGGAACTTTCTTCCTAACTGATTCTTGTGGAGTCCTGAAATTTTTCTACTCACCAAAACACTAGATAAAAGTGATTTGAAAATATAGGAAGGGCTGGGAAGGTGGCTCAGTGGTAGAGTGCTTGCCTTGCATGCATGAGGCACTGGGTTCGATTCCTCAGCACCACATAAGGAGGAAAAAGAAAAGCCGGAAGTGGCGCTGTGGCTCAAGTGGTAGAGTGCTAGCCTTGAGTTGAAGAGCTGAGGGACAGTGCCCAGACCCAGAGTTCAGGCCCCACGACCGGACCAAAAAAAAAAAAAGTATAGGAAAAGAAACAACTCTAGCAGAGTTAGACAATTAAAAAATGTCAGGATTTTTAGCTTTTCTTGATTTTTTTTGGAAAAAAAATTCAAACTCATGATGCCCTGGAGCATTATAGTAAGGTAAAAGAAGACCATATAGAAAAAATGATTTGACAAACTTTGCAAATAATATACCTTCAATCTTCATACTCTCTTTATAAGATGGACACATAATATAGGTCAAATGATGATAGGATAAATTTCAAAAGCTTGCGCTATTGGCAAACACAAAAGTCTTTTGTGGTATACTGGGAACATTTTTTGGCTTTTCCTTTTTCTTTTTCTATCTTTTTCCCTAATGGTTTGATTATATTGTCCCATAAGAAAACTCACTGTATAAAAATTAAAATTTAAGGGCTAGGAATATAGTTCAGTAGAAATGTTCTATTTCATAACCCAGGAATGGGTATACAAGTTCATATTGTTATTGATCTTTAAACAGTACATACATATTTCATAACCCAGATCTGTGTACTTTGTGCTTCACAAAAATAAAAGTGGACATAAATTGTGTCTAATTCCAGAGAAATGGGCTGAAGATATTTTTGCCAGTAGCTGTTTGCCTAACTGACAATTTTCCCAGCAGGATCTGGAATTGGAAAGCAGCTTCCCTCTGTTCATTTCCTGATAAATTATTAATGAAGCTTTGAGTTACAGAAGGAAGAGGGCAGGGAGCACAGAGAAAGAGCTACAGATTTTCTTACCTAACTTTCTAATCCAAAAGTTGAGTGGAAATAGTTGTATAAATTGTGAATGTGACTATTGTCCTATGGATTGCACAGTATTAAATGGTTCAGAGAACAAATTTTAGATACTATGTTTTGCCACAAGCAAGGAAGGAAAAAAGCAAAAAGGAAAGAAGGAAGGAAAGAAAGAAGGAAGGAAGAAAGAAACGAAGGAAGGAAAGAAGGAAGGAAGGAAAAAAGGAAGGAAATTTTAGAAATAGGGACTGGCAGAAGCAGACATTAGATATGAGGGAGGTGCCAAGCAGATAGATGTTCCAGAAGCTTCTCAGTTTTTTTTTAAATGTTTGTATCTCTTACTGGTATTATAAAGGTGATATACAGATGGATTACAGTTACATAAATCAGGTAATGAGTACATTTCCTTTTGGATGTTACCCTTTCCTTCATTCTTCCCCAGTTTTTCCCTCTCATCTCCAATTTGTGTAGTTGTGTAGTTTATTTTCAACATAGTATCATTGCTGCATTTGCTCACCCTTTGTCCCTCGATTTCTGGGTCATCTCAGTTTTGAAAAAAAGAACTATGAAAATATAAACTTCCATACTGAATGAAACAAGCAAATAAGTCTACAGTGAATATCAAAGGTAAGCCTCAATGTTCAGTGTCTAATTATTAAAGATATGGCAAAAACATCAGGGTTGAAATGCTGTGAATAGGTCAAAAGAAGAGACTTGTGGTGTGAATGTGTCCTCACACTCAGGGGATTTTAGGGCATCTGTTCAGCAAAGCTGTTAAAATAACTACGTGGCTGCAAATATTGCTTGTTTAAGCCATATCTGTACTTGCAATAAGGTTTTTTTTCTCCCTATATCCCTGTGTTCTGGTAGAAAAGTGCTATATTGTGTGGAAGTGTGATTTACACATCTAGCTTTCCACAAAAGCCTATTTTCTAAGAGAAACAGGCTGTTGTTCTGGGCTGTCAAAAAGAATAAAAGTGCCATCAATGGGAGACACAAAGAATATTCTAAGGAGAACTTACTGGGCAGATTTAAAGAATGCCTGAGTATGCTTGGGCGCAACCAGAGTGAAGAATGCAGCGTAGGCTTCCTTGACTCCTTGTTCTATGTTCTGAGTGCTCAATGCATATACAGACCAACCCCAGAGGCAAGGCCAATGTGCTCACACTCTACCCCATGCAATTCCCACAATCCATGTTTAGAATGATGCCCCATGGGGGTGGGGAGCACAATGGCCTCATCAACAAGCACTTAGAACTAAACCAGGAGACACTAAACTCACACAGAATAAACACTCCTCTTTTTCTTCCACCAGGAACATTCACTATATTAAAATGTAAGTAATAGTTTTTTTTTTTACATCAGAACAAAAATTGGTTATGCTTTGAGTATATACATTAGACTCTATGAATTTATATCAGCTAAATATTAGACTTCCAAAAACCTTCCTGGTTTCAATAGGCTATGTGGGGCTTCTTCCCAAATCCTGTTTATAGTACATTGGTGGAACAAGTACTTATTCTCTGCTATTTAGCGGGTAAACACTGCTCACTACAAAAATAATTACTATTGATTATCTTGCTCTTCATTTTAACCAAAATGAATCAAGGGAACCAGATTTTACATAATAATCATATGATCATAGTCAGAAAGATTAAATGACACAATTACTGTTTTTTTTAGTAGCCATCTTATACTGATTGTAAAAACTGATTCTGCTAAGATCAATAATAAGATACGCAACTTGTATTTTAAATTCTGCTATTATATATCTGGCATTAAGCCAAGTCAATTTGCATAGAAATTTATTTGAATTCATCTTGCCATCTGGAGGGAAAAGTATTTGTAAATGATGCTAATCTTGAATTAAGAATCCTTTAAATACAAACCAGAGATAGTCAAACAGTGGAAAACTATGTAACTCATAAACTCAATTATAAAAGAGCATACTACAGATGGATATTCTTGTAAATTATGCATACAAAATACTGAAAGGAAATGTACCCAAATATTAAAGTGATTATCTTTGAATGGAAGGTTACTCTATTATTTTTACTTATTGTGTGTTCTGCACTTGTAAAATATTTTTCAAATTGCCTTCATTTAGCATATATTACTTTGGTAATTAACAGAAAGCCCCCCAACTATAATGAAATAATGGAGCGTGAGTCAGGTATTAGAAGTATTTGGGATAGAAAAAAGGTCAACTTTACCTGTAAATAAGACATCTCCACCATCTAAAGTTGCATTTTCATCTTTCATCTCTACTATATTGAGCTGAAGCTTTTCTAATGCTTCTTTCATCATGTCCACCTGTTGAGAACAAAATGATTCTGGTTAGCAAGCTATCATCCCCTAGTTAGAAAATCTTCTGACCACTAAATCTCAGTCCCATGTGTGCACACATACACATATATGCAAACACACATATACAGGGGTTAACACACACACACACACACACACACACACACACACACACACACACACCACCCTCATTCTTAGGAATACATGGATGCATATATTATACAGTATGGCTAATCGTGATTTTTTACTTTTGTGACACTGTTTTGAACTCATGACTTTGCTCCTGCTCAGCTGGCTTGCTGTGCTGGCACTTTACTACTTGTTCCATAGCTCCAACCAGGCTTTTTTTGCTGGTTATTTTGGAGATATAATCTAGTGGACTTTTCTGCCCAGGCTGGCCTTGAACCCATGAGTCTCTCAATCACAGCTTCCTAAGTAGTTAGGATGGCAGGAATGAGGCACCAGTATCTGGTTTGGTCATGATTATTTTCAAGAGAAGAAATGTTCTGTTAGGAACGGCCTACGTTCTCTTCTAGTCTAAGCTTGAGTTCATAGTACATTTTGTTGTTGTTGAATTCTTGCTAACTAGTGAGGATTAGCTAGAGGCTGACGAGGTAGGACAATGTCGGAGGCTGATCAGTCGAGGAAGATGGGAGAGCCTGTCACCTAGTCGGAAGATTGTCCTTGACAGAAAGTACAAGATTTACTTTTACATCCGTCAGAATGACACAAAGAGAAAACAACAGTGGAAAGAATATTAATAACTCGTAACTTAAAATGTTAACTTATAGGATAGTTGATGTTTTGTATTCAAATATTTCTTAAAATGCCAAAACATCTAAGACTTCTCTGTAACTCTAAACTGTTACTGAAGTCGATCCTCAAATAACATGATTTCCTGTCATTTACAGTTGAGTTCCCTAGGGGTGATTAACAAATTCTGTAATTGCAATGAAATCAAAGAATATTGGAAAGGAAAAGGGATTTTAGGATTCTGGATGGGCCTAAAATATGAAGATATTTTGTGCTAAATTAGAGAACACTTCTAGTGAGGCTTACTTCAGAAATAACTTATTTTATTTTTGACAAAGGGTCTTGCTATGTAACCCAGGCTGGCCTCAAACTTGAGAGCCTCCTGTTTCAACCTCCTAAGTGCTAGGATGACAGCCATGTGCCATCATGCCCTTTAAAGCTTACATTTGTGTGGGCTGTGTGTGTGTGTGTGTGTGTGTGTGTGTGTGTGTGTGTGTGTGTGTGTGTGTTGGTCCTGGGCTTGAACTCATGGCCTGGGTGCTGTACCTGAGTGTTTTTTTTTAAATTGAATATAAGTGCATGCATATACTCACACATACATTTTTAACTGTATTTTTTGTTTTTATTTTTACTTTTGTTGGTCATGGGGCTTGAACTCTGGGCCTGGGTACTGTCCCTCAGCTCTTCATCTCAAGGCAAGCGCTCTACCACTTGAGCCACAGCACCACTTCCTACTGTATTTTTTTGTCTTTTGTTTTTTGTATTGGGGAATCAAATCCAGAACATTGCATTTGGTAGGCAAATGCTTTGCCACTGAGTGACATCCCAGCCCTACCTGAGCGTTTTTGCTCAAGGCTAGTGCTCTACCACTTGAGCCACAGCTTCACTCCCAGATTTTTTTTCTTTTTCTTTTTTTTTTTAATTATGAAAATACCACACAGAGGAGTTACAATTACATGGGCAAGATAATGAGTACATTTCTTATCAAGCATTGTTGCCTCCTCCTTTGTTTCCCCTTCCCATCCCTTCCCATATCCCGCGCCTCTCCCACTCATATCCCTCCCCTCCCCCTCCAAAGTTGTAAAGTTCATTTTTCGACATAACGACTTGTACATCTCATTGTTACAATGGGTCCACCTGTATCCCTATTTAAACCATTTGTTTTTTTCCTTCCCCTCCACAAATCATACCAACATCAAATACAGTGAAAGCAGGGGTTATATCGTGGGGGAGGGATATACAAAGCAACAAATAAATCATCTTATAAATATGTTAGAAACAATCACATGAAAGTAAAAAACATTTGAATACTTATCTTGGGGTTCATTTCACCTAACATCAACATATCTGACCTTTTCTGCTTGTCTCAGACATAAACTAGTTATTACAAATAAGGGAAACCATGGGGCCTATGGTTCTTTGGGCCTGGCTTACTTCACTTAATAGAATTTTTTCCGAGTCTTTCCATTTCCTAACAAATGGGGCAATGTCATTTTTTCTGATAGAGGCATAGAATTCCATTGTGTATATATACCACATTTTCTTGATCCATTCATTTACTGAGGGGCATCTGGGTTGGTTCCATATCTTAGATAAGATTTTTTTTTTTTTGGTGGTTAATTGGAGATAAATGTCTCATGGACTTTCCTTCCCAGGCTGGCTTCGAACAGCTACCCTCAGATATCAGCCCCCCAAATAGCTAAGATTACAAGTGTAAGCTAACAGCACTTATCTTAGAGCTTACAATTTAAGTCTTTGCAGAAGTTCAGTAGAAACAATTTAAATATTTGTGAAACTTCATATGGTAAAGACCTGTGTTTGAGAAGCCATGAACAGGACTAAGAGAAAAATAAAGAGATCACATCACAAGGGGCAAAGCAGATATTCCTACCAAGTAACAGCAGGCCGAGTACACTGGGCAAATTGTCATGGAAGAGGCATCAATAAAGCAAATCACTTCTAAAGTAATAAAAATATGGAAATACTTTGACAACAAGGCTGACATTCATGCACTCAAAGCCATTAAAGAGGATACAGAATAAAATAAATATACCCTCTCATCCTTGTCCTGGAACTCATGTTAAAATTCCACAAACCAGAATGACTCAGAACAATAAAAATTATTTCCATGGACAAAATGGTCTTGATGTTGTACTAAATAGATCCAGTGACCTCTTTTAATAGCAGAATAGGTTTTCCTATGTAACAGGAAGTGGAATCGTTGCTATAGCATAGCAAAGGATCAAAACAACATTTAACATGACTTGGGTTCCTGTGAACCCAGGAAAATATACAAGTGATTGATCCAGGGAACTCTGCTTCTATGCCCGTGGAAAATTCAGAGCTAAGAGCAAAACATGAGAACAGTCATCTTTTGCTTCTATTGCTAATACTGCTGTTTCTATTACAAAGAAACATCACAAAGATTATGAGGGATTCAGCAGCAACATAGATTTTGGTCTGAAAACTTCATTTGTAACTATGGAACATCTCAACTCTGAACTTTATTCAACCCTTGAATTAAAGAACAGAAAGAGGGAGGCTGCTATATACCAGTTTCAGAAACAGTATTTTTTTTAAAGTCCTGTGTCTTTCAAAATTAAAGTTTTAGTGGATGAAATGTTTGTGGCTTCTTAAAAGTTAAAACAGCTGCACTGACATGAAAACACTGGCTTTTGTGCAAGGCATTTTTTTTCTTCTATATTCAGTCACATCTATATAAACAAGTCATCAAGATAGGTCCATACCACAAATGTGCACCATATTGTATTACTTTCAGGGTTAAGTATATTGACAAGACCTAAAAAAATTTAAATGTCAAGTAAACAATTTTGAGAAGCACAAGACCATTTGGCACCAAATTGGCAAGGCTAACCCAGGGAGATTTCTGGAGAACAAAGGAGAGGCTGGACCCCAGCCTGTCCATTGAGAACCACATGCACTTGGCCCAGAGGCTCCAGCAAAGCACTGAATCTAGCTGCAAACAGGCCCAGAATCACTCTGACATCTGGGCCCAAAGCCAGCCATCTATTCAGACTGTTAGAACATTAAATATAACCATAGTAGTGGGAACTTTTGCAGGAAAAGATCCAAACCATGAGCCTTCAAGAAACTGTTCACTTTGCGGTTACACAGACATGGCTAATGTTGACTTAATTAACTTTCAAGAGAAAAAAAAAAAAAAAGACCAAACAACATCCCCACCTTTCAGAGAGACTCTAACCCTACAGAGGGGAACTTTTTATTACTCAGAGGAGCAGTTAGAATAAACAGTATTAATTCCAAAGGCTGAGTTGAATGGGTCACTTTAACCCGTAAAACTAGGAAGGGTAGATAAGAGAAACAACTAGGTTTTTCTTTGTGGTTGTTGTTCTCAATGTACTACATGATTTCTTTTTGCTTTTGTGTTTTTCCCCCTATGGTTTATTCTCTGTTGTCGCAGTACTCGATTTTGGTACCCTAGATATTGTATATGTTTATCTGAACTATGGAAGGGAAGGGAAACAAAGGACAAAGTGGGAATCCATGCAACAGCAATACTCACAATATGTTGGAAAGGATCTTTACAACTTGGGGGGATGGGTATTGAGGAGAGGGAGGGAAAGAGGGGAAAAAATGAGAAAGGGGGTAAAACAAGTTAGACAAAAAAAGTAATCATTACCTTACTTATGTAACTGTAACCCCCTCTGTACATCATCTTGACAATAAAATTTAAAAAATAAAGAGAAACAATCTTAGAGATGTATGAGTTTTCATATTTTTCTTTTTAATTTCTTCTTTTTCTTTTCTTTCTTTCTTTTCTTTCTTTTTTTGGCTGTTATTAGAGCTTGAACTCTTGTATGGTTTTTCACTCAAGGCTGGTACCCTACCACTTAAGTCATACCTCCACTTCCGGCTTTTTAATAGTTAACTGGAGATAGAGTCTCACAGACTTTCCTGCCAGGATTGGCTTTGAATAAGAATCCTTAGATCTTAGTCTCCTCAGTAGCTAGGATTATAGGTGTGATCCACCAGCACTAGACCTTTCTTCCTTCCGTTTTCACAGAACATGCACTTTGATCTCAGTTTTTAAAATGTGATATTCCTATTTAGTTTTGCTTCATTTTTTTTCTCCTACTCTTTAGCACAGATTTCTATCCTGGTCATAGTGGCTTCAGACAACCTCTCCTTTCACTTATCCAATGCATATTTCTTTCTTTTCAAGAACTGGAATAGTGTTAATGTAATTATCTTTCCCTTTTTCCTCCTCTCTTTTC